CACCTTTCTAAGGAGAAATTCACCTTCAGCATCACCATCAACTTTCAATTCACTATTTGTTTGGCCATTAATGATCTCCAGGACAACAACACCAAAACTATAGATATCAATCTTTTCTGACAACTGACCATGAATTGCATACTCTGGAGCTGTATATCATCTACAAAATGTATAATGTTAATGATGTTATTGACTAAAACAATAATGACTCAAGCTAACATAAATGAAAAATATTTAGAGCAAAAAAAAATCCAAAACTGTTATCTACAACACAAAGTATTGCACCATGTTCCACTTATGAACAATATCTTGGAGAATTTGTGATCGTACAAAGGCCCAAAAAAGTATTTAAATTTTTGGTGTAATATGAGTGTGCCAATATATTATTAGAGACCTTTCATAATCAAGAATTAGAACAGAAGTTAAGAAATTACTAAATAAAATTACTCAGACTCACAGCGTTCCTGCAACTTTTGTACTAAGATGAGATTTTTCTTCAGGTAAAAGTCTTGCCAAGCCAAAATAAGAAATTCTAGGTTGTAAATCATCATCTAAAAAGATGTTGTTAGTTTTAATATCTCTATGTATGATACGAACATGAAATTCCTCATGCAGATAAGTCAAACCCCTCGCTGTTCTTAAAATTATATCATACCGCTGCTTCCAATCAAGAGAACCCTTCTTTTTACCTATTTTCCGAGGCAATACATTATAGGTTAGAGATAAGAAGGAAAGGACGATGAAATATAAAAGCAATTCATCAACAAATGTTTCCATATACGAAAAATTGACATATATGGATATTATAAGATCTTTAATAAAATTATGACATATGAATGAATGTTTATTAAAGAAGTTATATGTTGTCAAGTTGAAAATATGTGGTTGGCAAAAAAAAAAAAGTTGAAAATATGTGTCCTCGCGTTAATGTTATTCAGATATATAGTTGCTAACGATTAAATTATACACAAAAAGAGCTTGGTTGATAAAAGGGATACCAAATAAGAATCTGTCCAAACTGGTGTTCTTCATGTATTGATAAACAAGTATTCTCTCATCGCCTTTATTGCAACATCCAAGAAGCCGAACAAGATTTCGATGATGAACATTACTTATAAGCTTTACTTCACTCTCAAATTCTTCCTCCACTCTCTTGGAGTGACGTCGTAAAGTTAATTTCTTGACTGCAACTACTTTTCCATTCTTTAGAGTGCCCTGTTCATGATAATAAAAAATTTTAGTCATCACATTGTTAATGTGTGTGTCTATATATATATGTGTGTGTAAATTATTTTTAGAATACAGTTGCTTTGGATTCTGAAATATATCGAAATATTGGAAATCTAAATATATTTACCTTATATACGACGCCAAATCCTCCTTCTCCGAGTTTATTTTCTATACTGAAATTTTTTGTTGCATACTTTAAATCCCCATAATTATAATTAACTGGGCCTTTCAACTTGCTTGCTCCAGTTATGTCTCTGACAAATTCAATTATTTTTATATATTTTGATATCTTTTATATGGGTTTTGTCAACTTAATTAGTTTTTTTGGCCTTAATTGATTGGTAATTGATTTTAATATATTTTATTTTGAATTATTATTTTATTGGGGCAAAATTGTCATATTTTGGTTTAATTGTGACTAATTGATTTTTTAGGACAATTAATGCTACCTTATCTTTGAATTTTGCTTACAGGTTTTTGGAAGAAATAAAAATTAAAATTAAAAAAATAAAAAAAAAATAAAAAGATAATTAAAAAGAAGGACGTTTTGCCCCACCCCACTAATAACCTATTATTCACATCTTCATCTTGCGGGGGGAGAACACGCTGAGCAAGCTGGGCGGCCGACAAAAAAAGAAAAGAAAAAACGAGAAGACGCGACCCATGAGTTGAGCGGCGGCAGAGAGAAATAAAACAGGAGCTAGCCGACGGCACCAGAGGAGTGAGCGACGGTAGAGGGGGAACCACCCTTCATCACCATCGGCTTCATCTCTTCTTCTTTTTAGCGCGACCACAGAACCCATGAGCAGACGAGCTGGAAGAGACAGAGCTGAGGGGCGGCGTGAAACACAGAGACCAGCAACACGAGCTGAGAGGCAAGACCAGTGGCGTGAACTGATACGCACACGAGCAGATAGCAAGAGGGGTCCAGAGCTCGAGGCACCTTCCTCATTCTTCTCCACGATTTGTTTCTGGTGCCAGAGGAGGTCGACGGCGAGTGAACCAGAAGGAGTGAGACAACGAAATCAGTTCCGTCACCGTCTTCTTCCATGGCAAACCGTAACAGAGCATTGATTGCAGCATTCTTTATGGCAAACCGTGGCTAGCTTCACAATTCTCTAATTCAACAATAATGACAGGAGCTTAGATCATCAAAGGGGAATTTTAGTTGCTTTAATTTCCTGTCTAATAATTGTTTAACAATTCTTAGGTCTTAGGATAGTTATTCTGATTATTAGAAAATTTCTATTGTTTAATCTGATTATATTTGGAGATTATTGTGACTGAATTATTGTTTAGCATTTGACATTGGGTTATTTATAACTTTAATTTCAATTATAATGTTGTGGTTATGACATTTGTATTGATTTTGGAGTTAATATATTGTGATTTTCTAAGGTGACTTAGAATTTTGGATCATATTGTCTCTTGCTAGCTTTAATTCTATTATTTTGGATTTAAGAATTTTAATTAAGCATTGGTTTTTAGCATCCTTAATTCTATTTTACTATTCTGGTTGCAGTTAGTAAATTAGGATTTTGGGAAAATATTTTGTGGCAATTCGAGATGGCTCGGTTGTTGGATTAAAAGCTTGATTATAATTCTTAATTCATTGTTTTAACTCCCGTATCTTTTGGAGTAAGGATTGCGTGCGTTGTTGAATTGGAGAATTGATTTTTATCATTGTTATTTATATGTCTCATTTTCATTTCTTTAATCTTCATTCATTTTAATCACTTTTATATAAAAACAAAAAAAAAGTATTTCAATTTCAATTTGATTCGTAGTATTTAATTAACAGTTTTTCAAAATCAAAAATCCCTTTTTATAGTTTAGGTTACTTGCATTTATTTACTAGGATTTAATTTCATTTTCAGCTTCTTAAAGTGAATACGACCTGGATTGTGCATTATATTGCATTAATTCGGTTAATTTTTGGAGTAACCCCAAAGCGACAAATTAAGGGCAAGTTAACTTCAAGTGACGCCGTTGCCGGGAAGCCAAGAAATTGATTCCCTAGTAATTAAGTGTCAAGTAGCCTTGATTGGAGTTCATTTATTGAGCCTTTTTAGTTTTCATTTTTATTAGTTTTTACATTTTCTTTAGTAATTTGCATTTGTTTCTTTTGATTTTTCATAGCATTTCTTTCCTTGGCATCAAAATTTTTTAAAAATACAACCAAATATCTTGATTTTTCTTTGTTTTGCATATAGATATAGACACTTGCCTGTCTTTGCATCATAATGTCAAATTTACATCCAAAATTTGGTAAAAATTTGAGTTTTCAAAAAATTCAGTTTGTTGGAACTAAAAAAATGTTTTGCCTAGAAAATTCTGAAAATTGGTATTCTAAAGATTTTGGGCATTTTAAGCAAGACTAATAGCCTAGCAAATTTTGGCCAAATTCAAACATTTTCCCTACTTTTTCTAATTTTCTTTCTTTTCTGGAATTTTTCCAGATTTTTTCTGTTTGTGTGTTTTTGTGTTATTTTTCTGATTTTTCTAGCTTTTTAGGATTGTTTTGAGTTTCTTTAAATTGGCTTTTGTTAGGAATTGATTGTGTAACTCATGGCTTGGTTTAATAGCAATCATGATCTACCCTCACATTCTCACTTTTTTTTTGCAGAAAATAGTACATGGAATGAAGCACCTTCTAATTCAACATGTTCTCAAGAGATTGAAGAGTTGTTACAACAGTTAGACTCCTTCCAAACTCAGCTAGAGTCTCAAATGCCTAATCGCCTCTCTACCCATGACCCTTTTTGGATGAACCATCCTCCACATCAATCACCTAACCTATCACTCCCACCTCACCAACCATACTTTAATCATATATCTCTACCATATGCACACCACCAAGAATCACCTCCTTTTCCACATGAATACTACCACCAACCCTCATCTCAATCCAAGTACCATTCTCTCCCCCAATCTCATGAACATCAATTCAATGAACCTGACCCATTTCTTATTATTCCTAAGAAGGACCAGATACAATTTTTAAGAGAAGCTTATGACCGCTTAAATTCATACTACCATAGATTACTTGAAGAAGCACGAATATTTGGAATCTCAAAGGAATCAGAGGAAGAGTTAAGAGAATGTAAGACTGCATTGGAGAAGATCTTGAGTGATATAGCTCAAATTGAATCTGAGAATGGAAAGGATGAGCCAAAGTGCCCAGATTTACTCATACAAGAAGCCGAGATGAAGCAGGAACATCTACAAACTCATAAAGACTTGTGCCCTACATCAGGTAATATTGATCCTCTTCTTGAGGAGATTGATTCTTATGCTATAACTACTATTCTTGTTGAAACTATTGATGATGTGAGTAATGATGAGGTGGATGAAGAAATTGTCTGTGAATCCCCTCATGTTTTTGAACATGCTAATACTCAATCTGTTGGTTTTAGTGGTAGTGATTTGGATGAAGATGCGGTTTTGTGTGATGATTTACATGCCAACCATGTTTCTCTTCCTAGTGTTGGAAGTGCTGTTATTGATAAGTATGAGAACATTAAGGTTGCTAAATCTTGTTTGAGTGCAATTATTAATGACAAATGTGAGAATGATTATTGCCTTGAGAACCAAATGCATGATAATTCCTTTGAGTTAGTAGCTTCTAGTGTTGTTGAGAAAGACTCTGAAATTTTGATTGACAAAATTATGCATGTTGATGAGTCTTTCCAACAAGTTTTGTCTTGTGATTTGCCTCCTGATTTAGTTAGCTGTGTCAATAGTAGTATTCTTAAATCAATTCATACATCCTAGTCAAAACTTAAATCAACTTCACTTGCCTGCTTACCAAATAATGAAGAAATCAGTGACACAATGCGCTCCTCCAATTCCTCCTGGTAGCGTTCTTTCTTATTCTTCTTGTTGATAGGAATCTATGCAGTACAACACACAACTTGTCAGCGTTGGTCAATCTATAAAATGCCTATGACATCACATCTTCAAACTTCAGAATGGAAATGGTCGGAAAGAGGACACCATGTGATGCTTTTAATAACTGACTTTTTTCGGTAGATATGGATTGAGAATTTGGCTTTACACAATCTTGAACTTAGAAATGATCGTCAAAATATCATAAGTGCCAATATTCAATGGAAGTCTAATATGCGCCATGGACAAGGAAAAAAGGTAGTTTTACCCCCAAAGGTCTTGACTCCAGAAGGAATACTAATGCTACTCTTACTTTTATATTTGCCACTCAGATAAACTTTCACTTGTTTTGGTTACATGAAGAAGGCCGACATGGTAAACTTTAACACTACCAATTTTGGAAAATAGCAGACTTGCCGTTGTCAGAGACTCCGTCACAAAAGCTTGTTTTATTAGTTAGATATGGTGGTGGACAAATATAATCGAGAACATGACTTGCACATAAAATCGAAGCGAACTTATGAAATAGACTTCCGTAGTATATAAATACAATGTAGTAGCAATTATTATTTGTGAGTTAATGATAAGACATAAAACAGGCAATTTGTAACGTATAACTGTAACAAAGATAAGCCATGCACATAAAGGAAGGTTGTATCACTTGCCTTACCCATAAAAGCTGCAAATGCTGTCTTCAAGCCTAAAACATCCACAAACCGTTCGCAGGCAGGAGGATACTTGGTCATTGCAAAATCAAGCGCCCTTATAGCTGACCCATAAGCCAATTTCTTTTGTTTCATAATAATTATCATCAGTTCGACTCCTTCAGCCTTCACAAATCTTTCCTTGTTCTCCAATGGCATCAATAAACAGCACAGACAATCAAACAGGTTCTCCACCATCTCTGCCTCATCCGAACTCTTGGGGTCCTTAGACTTGTACATGGCTACAGCCTGAAGCACCACATCTACTCCATTCATCTGCCCTAACCTTTTCTGATTAGCGGTGCTGTTCTGCAACAAAATCGCCAATATCTCTGAAGCATACTGCTTGTTACTATCGAATTCTCTCACTTTAATCTTCCCCAACAACCATTTCAACAACTTGGTTTTCTCACAAACCAATTCTGCCACTGCTGGCTTTACCTCAATCAAATTCTCTATCGTGGCCAGCGTATTATAAACCGCAGCCATCTCATCCGCGTCAGAATCCGACAATCTATGCAAATTTTGAACGAGCAACTCAAGCACGCTGTTTTCAATCAAAGTATCGACTAAAACCTTCGCAGGCTCATCGTTATCTTCGAGTACATCTTCATCGGTCAAGTCCTGAAGCAATTGGACAACGTCTATGGCAATGTCAGTGTTGTCATGGTTCAACAAATCTACAATGGATGGCACGACGTTAAGATTGACGAGGTCAGGGTACAGTTCTGGAGCTCCTGCAAGGACCTTGAGCTTCTGAAGCTCTTCATGGAGCTCAATCTCTGAATCGGCAAAACGATCAGGTTGGTTCGGGTACTTGAGGCGAGCTTCGATGTTGTCCTTCAAGCGGCGTTCAAAGGAGAGGACAAGTTTCTTGAGGGCTTTGAGGTCAAGCACTTCAACGGAGCTCTGGGATTTCTCAACGGCTTCGAGCAGCGAGAGGTCGATGCCGTTGATGTTGTTGTCATCGTTGAAGCCATTGGAGGAGGCTGCTGCAGGCGGCGGCGAGGATGGTGAAACGATGTCGTCAAACTTTCGTTTGGAGGCGTGGCTACGCGCATTTGCAACTTCCATCGTCGCCGGAGACAAGCTACGATGAACCGGTGAGGCGCTTAACCCTACCACAACGCTACTCTCTTCGGTTTGGGGGAAGAAAGTTCGCGATTTCTTACTCGAACTCGGGATCGTCGACTTTCCGATTTTTTTCTTCAATTATAACTCATTACTCTTAAACTCGCCGTGGCAGATGATTTTAAAAGTATTTTTATAATATACAAAATAAATATATATATTTTTATTTTACAAAATTATCTTTACCCTCCCTTAAATTTATATTCCCCTGCTTTTTAATATAAAATATAATTGTTAAGTTAATTTTGATTCTAAATATCATACATATGTCTCATATTCATTAATTTTTTTTAAATTACTCATATAAATACTCATTTAGCTATAATCAAATAAATAAGAAAGAAAGGATATTAAGAAAAATGATTATGGTGTTTTAGAAAAAATATGTCATATTTTTTAATAATTAGCTAACTTATTTAACTTCTTTAATCTAATCAAATTAGTTAAATAGGTCTTATATTAAGGATAGGAGGAGTACTAACTTCTTTAATCTAATCAAATTAGTTAAATAGGTCTTATATTAAGAATAGAAGGAGTACTAACTTTTGTGAATTTGATTATGATTAGTAAATTTACATTTGAACCTTATAAGAAAAATTTTGTTAAGTATGACACACTATGAATATTGATAGATTTAATTTTAATTATTTAGATTTGAAATATATTTAAACAAAATTGTTCTTATTTTAATATTTTAATTATATATTTTTAATGATTATTTATTGATAAAAATAAATTCTTACCGGTGTACATCCCTATTATGAATTTGTTTGGACTTATGAATTATGAATTTGACTTTGGACTCATAAGTCTGACAACATTGCGTGTAGCCATTATATTTCAAGTTAAACCCAAAATTTATTATTGAAATTTTGTGTTAACGGCATATGAGTATACGACCAAAAACGCCTTCATTTTTCCTTGGATTCTCCCATGACAGGGTATTAAGGAACTTGTTAGAATGAAATTATGTTTTGATTAAAAAAAAAAAAAAAAAAAACTCTGCCGATATGCCCGTGAAGATCAAAATGACCACTACTTCAATAATAGCAACAGCTCATGTATAATCTCACCAATAAAAACTTCATGCCACATCATTCTTGTATCCTTTACATTTCCAATACAACTTTTGAATAGTAATTGTCAAGCATGTACTGGTGTTTTTGCCAGGTATATACTGTACTAGTTACACATAAGCAGTGTTGTCATTTATGACAGGAAGATGTTTTATAGCTCCTGGTTGCCACCAAACTGAAATCCCCAACTAGAATTATTTGTATGATACTAGTCATTTGTTTATGAGTGCACTTGTTATCACACATAGACAAAGTTTTTATTCCTAAGTAACATGTATAGGAGGTGTTTGGATAGAAATCAAACTATGGTTTTAGAAGTACTTTTACAGTTTATGAAGTAAATATGTGAAGGAATTTGTCTCGTTTTGCGGAAAAGTGCTTCTAAAATCATGGTTTGGAGGTTGCCAAACACCCCCATAGTCTTTAATATAAAACTTAGCTGTTAATTGAATTTCGTTCTAAATATACAACTGTAATTTATTTTGTCTCCATTCTTCTTAAAATATTGCTATTGATTGTAAGATATTCTTATTAAAGGGTATTCTAATATAAATGATTAAAGAGAAAAATTTAGAGAGATCAACACACATTTGTGATAAATAATTAATTTAACGAATGTCTTAATATCTTCACATTAGTTATTTAGTTTTTATATTAAGGATTAGATTTATTATTTGTTATTTCCTATGACAAAACTTGTTGTCCTTATTCTACAACTATTATTCTCATATCATATTTTTTATATAATTAAGGATAATTAGTGACCCAATGATCAAAATATTTTTTCAGATACCAAAAGGCCAGGAGCAATTCTCACATCCAACACCACTTTTTTAAATAATTTACCCGTTGGTGCAGAGCTACGGTCGGCCAGAACGAAGGTGGAAGAGAATTTTTTTTACCCAAAAAAAAAAAAAGGATTATGAGCATTTATGTTATTGTGGCAAAATTTTGTTTTCGTTTGAATCTCTTGAAACCTTTTTTAGTATCAGGCCATTTCGTGAATTGCCTGTATTTTTTTTTCCCGGAATTTTTTGCATTGCTTATGTGGTCTTGTGTTTTCAATGGAAAATGTAATCTATATACTCATTTTAAATATTTTTAATTACTCCAAAAAAATAAATATTTCTAATAAATAAAAAACACGGAAATGTCAGAAAAATGCTGACCCGAAGTACACGATAAAGCCCATTCCCCGGTTGATCTCACGCACAAAACGCTCATTTCTCCGTAATTCTTCTCTCTTCAGCCGCATTTTAATATCTGACCATTTTTACAGAAAAGCCCCTCCAACACGACAACCAATAAGGGATCATGGATCCCCTGGACTCGAAATTTCTCTTTCTTTAAAACCCGCAATTTCAATCCCCATTATATATGCGTCACCCGCATCCCTGCACTCTTCCAGAGCTTCTTCACTGTGTTGCTGGCCTTTGAAGGTTGAGGCTTTCTTTTGTTCTCCGCATCCCTATCGATACCCGCCATGGGTCAGAAACGGGTTCTGCTTCTCTGCGGTGATTACATGGAAGACTATGAAGTATCTTCACCTTCACTTCCTTCCTGGATTATTCCTTTTTTCTGTAGTTCAGTTTCTTCTATGGTGGTTTCATACTTTCTGTAACTCTACTTGGTTCTTTGATTTGTGTTTTGCAGGCGATGGTTCCATTTCAAGCATTGCAAGCCTATGGCGTAGCCGTCGATGCCGTTTGGATTGATGGATTTTGTACCTAGATTTGTACGTAAATACAAAAGTTCACTTTTGCTGGTGTGGATTGATGGAGATATTTTTCATTGGAAAATTTTCATTGCAGGATTTCATGGAAGATTATGAGGTAGCTGTACCTTTTCAATCTCTTCAGGCTCTAGGATGCGTGGTTGATGCAGTTTGCCCCAAGAAAAAGGCTGGTGATACTTGCCCGACTGCCATTCATGACTTTGAAGGCGATCAAACTTACAGTGAGAAGCCAGGACATGACTTTGCCTTAAATGCAACCTATGATGATGTGGATGCCTCGAGCTATGATGCTCTTGTCATACCTGGAGGCCGATCCCCCGAGTATTTGGCATTGAACGAGTCAGTTATTGCCTTGGTGAAGCATTTCATGGAAAAGAAGAAGCCAGTGGCATCTATTTGCCATGGGCAACAGATTTTAGCTGCTGCTGATGTTCTGAAGGTATGATTACTGATTCACTTATTTGGAGCTCTCTGATTAACTTAGTATATGCTGTCAAGTTTCAGCTGTAGGAAGATGTGATATTTATCATCCTAGGTACTTTTTTCCTATGCGCTTAAAGAATTAAAAGTTTGAATATTAAGCCTTTCATGTACTCAAGGCAAAAGATTTCTGATTGAGCTGTATGCGTCCTCCTTATTTGCTGCTTCTACTGCTATCTCGAGTGGAGATGCTTCTGAGTTTATTTATTTCCGATTTCTTGCCTTATCTTCATTCTTGAAGTGCTTGATATTTTGCATTATGTTGATTGAAGCATAAAGGTTATACATTGAGAATCGCAGCATCTCCCTCTCATGCTTGTTCCTGCTTGGCGTGGATTTTCTGCTGCTTCAAAATCTGCAGTCAGATTTACTGTAGCTTCATCTGGTTTATTTGGATTTTATGGCTGGCCGATGATTCTGGTCTCATTACTTTAGTATTTTAGTTGTTCTTGTTATTGTTGTTTTCTGGTTAAGTAATCTCTCCTTTATGTTCAACTTATACAGGCTCAGTTATCCTGTTGTTTTTAGATACCTTGGTTTCACTCGTCAAAAACAGGCAGTATTATGAAAGTCAGAGTGAGTGATATATACATGGAAATATCTGGGAATGGACAGATGTTAACGTGAACACTGGCTCTTCTAATTGTGTTGTTCTGTAGCTATTCTAAACATCAATATCTCTTGTTTGATCAATTCTGCTGTCTTTTGAAAGGCTTGTAGGTTCTAGTTGACTATGGGAATGGTAAATTTAGTTGAGTTTTTATACCCAGCTGGTGATCCCTTGTTTGTTAGTCATATTCTCCTATTTCTTATGGAACATTCAATGGTGCAAGCTGGTTGAAAAACACTGAATGTGTCATTGAATATTTCGAAGTCTCATTGTACCCCTATTGTAGTTGTTAATGCAGAATTGAAAAATTTTCAGGTTGTGCATTGTTTCATATATGCACTGCTAAAATGACACGCTTTTATTACTTTTTCAGGGAAGAAAATGTACGGCATATCCGGCTGTGAAGCTTAATGTGGTTCTATCAGCAGCGACTTGGTTGGAACCTGATCCAATACACCGCTGCTTCACTGATGGAAATTTAGTAACTGGAACTGCATGGCCAGGGCATCCTGAGTTCATTTCTCAGCTGATGGTTCTCCTTGGTATTCTTGTATCTTTCTAGTTGTATTTTTGTACCATGAGTGTATACTTGGTACTGACTATCTTTCAACTTGTTACTATCTATGCATGCATGTTCAGATGTCCACAAAAGTCTTGTGAAGTGTGTGCTACGTGAGGCTAATGTTATGTGGCTTTGAGAATAATTGAGTTGTATATAATGGAATAAAGTCGCCATCTTTCTTTCTGTACAATCCGTTGCCTTGGCTAGAAGTAATATTTTTAGATGGCTATTTGGATGGTTTGCTGAACAACATTTTCCCATCATAGCATAAAATAAATGTCTCTAGGTTGAATGTTGGTTTGGTGTGTATGATAGGCTATTTCTAATATCCATGATGTAGCTTTGTCAAGAATATGACATAGAAAAATGCGTTTCTGAGAGTTTTTGAAATTATTTATTAGAAAATAATAAAAAAGTAACCATCATTTAAGAGTCAGAAAAAATCTGAATTAAAAAATTTTAATGACCAAGCATGAATATATGATATAATAGCTATCAAACCAAGGAGCCCATTTGTTACGTAGAATAGAATGTGATGGAAAAGATAATGCAATAAGAAATGATTTTATGGATAAGAAGCATCTCCTGTACTGTTGGATAAACAAAATGGTAATGAATGCTTATTTTATGGATAAGAAGTACTCTTTCAATGCTTAATATAATACCCATTTAATTAATTTGATTTGATTATGGAAGTTAGGTAAGTTTGTTAATTATAAGAAATGTGACACGTTTTGCTATACCATAATCATTTTTTGTAATACCTCCTCTTTCTCTTCTACTTGATTATCGTTGAGAGAGTATCCATGGGGGTAATTTAGAGAATATTGATAAATATGAGAAATAGGTCTTATATTTAGGACCAAAACCAACTCAGTAATTGGGTCCTGTATTAAGAGCCGGAGGAGTATCTCTTATATACTGTTGGATAAAGTATCTTTGTGTTATTTTTGCAGTTATTCTTATTTTAAGCTTTAAAATAAGAATAAAATTTGATCCTTAATATGATAGTAAAACTAATTAAAGGACTTCACATTTTTACTTTTTACATTATTAGGTTGAAACTTCAACTGTCTAAGTCACTTCCGGCTGTAAATTCTTGTATAGTACTATCATCTTGCTGATAGTGTAATCGTGGAGGCTGTAGCATTGGTATTAAGGAAAGAAGTTGAGGTTAAGGTGCCTTCCCTAGACGTCAAGTTAGTTTCAATGAAGACTGGCATAGTGGGTTTCATGTGCTCCATTAAGCCCTTGCTTCTAAGCATAAGAACAACTTCAGACATTGTTGGCCTTATTGCAGGAGATGCTTGAGTACAAAGCAAACCAATCTCTATGATTTTTTTTCACTTCTTCTGGATCATAGTCATTAGGCTCTAAGGTCTCGTCCACCAATTTCAAGTGCATGTCTTTCTCATATAGTTTCCAGGCCTGCCAGGTGAAATCAAAGTGTCTTAGAGCATGGGGGAAAGCAGCATAACAAAACCTAGGGCGGGGTTACAAAGGAGTAATTTCTTAGAAAGAATTAATTATGCGGTGATGAGCTGTTAAAAATATCTCAAAATTGCATCAGTCTTCAAACAGAAATTTCTTACTTGCTGAAGGAGGAATTCGCCCTCGGCATTAGGATCAACCTTTAATTCAATGCTTTTTTGGCCGCTGATGATTTCTAGGACTACAACTCCATAACTATAGGTATCGGCCTTCTCTGATAATTGACCTTGAATTGCATACTCAGATGCTATGTATCCCCTAACAAATGCATATTGTTTGGTACAATCATAAGGACAATGACATAGACACAAACATACAAATTTTTTTTTTTGGGTAAACCAAAAAAAAGTGTTGTAATATAGACTAATGCAGCAAGACTGGTCCATTCACTGATGTATAGATTTTATTTATGTCTTATGTAATACATGTGATATATTAGAAGTTATGGAAGATTAAACAAATGCAGTGTTGCAACTTACAATGTTCCTGCAAACTTTGTGCTAAGATGAGATTAGTCCTTAGGCAGAAGTCTTGCCAACCCAAAATCAGAAATTCTAGGCTCAAGATCATTGTCTAAGAGGATGTTGTTGGTCTTTATATCTCTATGTATGACACAAACATAGAATTCCTCATGTAAATAGGCCAAACCCCTTGCTGTGCCTAAAATTATTTCATACCGTTGCTTCCAATTGAGAGAACCTTTGTTTTGGCCTGTTTCACATTGAACGTTAAGGAAAAAGGAAGAATGAAGCATGAAATTTATTCTCAAAACGCTTCAGTAGCAAACCAACAAAAACGTTTGTTAAGTTTTTCAATAAATGTATAAAACCGTAACATATGGTTAAGTGTTTGTTGGAGAAGTTAAGGATATATTGCTAAATAGAAAATATATTCACACATTACAAATAATTAATGGTAGCTAATACTTGAAGAACTTGATGGTTAATATGAGTTACCAAATAAGAATCTGTCAAGACTATTGTTTTTCATGTATTCATAAACAAGGATCTTCTCTTGGCCTTTACTGCAGCATCCCAAAAGGCGAACAAGATTCCGATGATGAACATTACTTATAAGCTTCACTTCACTCTCAAAATCTTCATCTATCCTCTTGCTGTTACCTAAAGCTAATTTCTTGACTGCAACTATTTTCCCATTCTTAAGAGTGCCCTGTCCATGGTGATTAAGAATTTCAGTCATTGAAATAATTCAATAGTTAATGTTTTGTCTTTGGAAATATAACCTTTTACAGGCTCATTTAGAAATATCCTTGCGTAAGACTAGACTGAATAATGAAGAAAATCAGAAGTTTTACCTTGTATACATCACCAAATCCTCCTCCTCCCAGTTTATTTTCTTCACTAAAATTTTTTGTTGCAATCTTCAAATCCTTATATCTGTACTTAACAGGGCCTTTCAACTCTGTTGCTCCCAGTATGTCATCTGTCAGGGAAGACACAAGTTAAAACATCTTAACAAACGAACAAATCAATCAGTGATTCATGCCTTCGTAGAGATGAAAGCTTGACTTTTTCTCTTAAGCATTATATTAAACCTTCACTACTTAAGTAACTGAAGACATTCCAAGTATTCTTACCTCTGGGAACCTTCTTTGGCCTCTTGGGTTGCATGATCAAAAGAAACACTGCAAGGACAATCAAAACAAAAGCCACTCCTCCTGCAACCCCACCAATAATAGCTCCCCTCTTGCTTGAACCTACAATACAGAAAAATAGTAAAATACAATCTCATTTTCCGCTTCTTACACTTGAACGTTATAAATAAAAAAGGCAGATATTGAATCCTTCAAATGAACTGAACCTTGTTTCAAGAAGGGTGTTATATCAATGGTCCGGTTATTAGGAAAGAAGGAAGTGGTGGAGTATCTCATGAAGCACCCAGCATCAAAAGCCCTATCCTCCAAAGTGGGAAGACAAGTCAGCAGATTGTTGTAGCCAACCTTCAAGCAATCAAGGCAGCCACTGTGTGTGACAGTATCAACACACTGAGCAATGGCATAGAAAGTAGGACCATTGTTAGGTATCCGAGTCTTTGTGGCTGCAAAGAAACCAGTAATTCTGGGTGTTGCCGTTTGCAGATTGACTAGCATTTGTTGAGCTGTTGAGTCAAACGTTGTGTTATCTCCATAAGTTTGATTCCCGCAAGCCATGCTGTTGCCAGGCTGCGTTGTCTGATCATAGAAACTACTGCTCTCATACCTAACGAGTATTGCCTCCATTTAAGTCGCATGGAACAAGATACTCCTCTTGATTCTAAATACAAGGTCTTTTGACTAATTGGTAGAATTCAAAAGTAATTAAGATGATTATTTGTAATTAATATGTAGATATTAGATAACTTGTAATATGTTTTTGTATACATCTTTTTCGGATAAAGATTTATACGTTACTCTAATTTTGTATTTTAGGTGTGCACCTTGATTTTATTCATAGTGCATCAAGCACCCTGATTTTAAAATGTTGGGTGTAACAAAAGATTAATATAAAGGTGTTGGATGCATTTGAGAAATAAGATCACAGTGCTAGATGCAGCTGTACTCTTTTTTTTCCCTTCGAAAAAATAACCTGCCATTTAATTACTAAAATTTAATGCATAGGAATAAAAATGCTAGAATAAATAGGGGTATTACGGGAAAGAAATAGTTAATGTAAGAGATGATAAGAGATTGAATCTTATAAGATTTGAAACTTAAGAGATCATAAGTAAAATGATGACAAACTTAATAGATTAAAAATTATATTAATTTTAATTTTAGTATAAATATACTATTTCATCATTAGTTCATTATTATATAAATTGTTATTTTGTTGAAAAGTACATATATTAAACATGTTTAAAGTAGAAAATTTGTTGAATTTTCAGGTAAAGACAATAAGATTTAAAGACTGTTTTTATTAAGATAAAATATATTGACAATGACTTGTAAATAAAATAAGAAAAGCATAATTTTGTAATGAAGAAGTGGTCATATTCAGGCTTCCAATAAAAGATGGCTGCACGTATTTTTTTTTTTTTAAAAAAAAGAGGCGGAACAGGCCTTACCTGAGGAATGTAAATGATGATGATGACGATTATTATTATTATTATGATAATAATAATACGAGACCGGTTTGAAATTAAAGAGCATTTTATATAGATGGGTATGAATCGTTGGCGCCGGCAGTTGGCAGAGACAAGGTATAAAAAAGAGAATATAATAACAAAGATAAGAATTAATAATGGAGAAGCATTACACATAATTAAGCATTATATTTGGTCGACGAATGGAATAACGGATTAATTATTCTACTGTTGTACGCATGAAAGCAAATTAAACAGGAGACAGATTTTAACTTTAGAGATCACAACGAAAATAAAATCAAAATTTAGGGACTACAAATAATATCCTCCTTTTAATTTTAAATAATTTACTCCATATTTTGTTTGGATGTTTAAGACCAAATTTCAACATCATTAGAGTATGAATATTTATCAAAAACGTCTAAATTTTTTGTATTCCTTTGTCTTTAAATAATCAACATGCCCACACATCTATGGAGGTGGGATATCATATAATAATATCAATGTTTTATCAAATAAAATATTGAAATAAATTCGTAATAAATATCTTATCTATCGGCCTTACTATTTATGACAAAGAAAAGTCAAACTTAGAGACCGCACCTGAGGAAGCAGCCGTCGTAGATAACGCGGGCACCGTTGGCTCCGGCGGAGCAGTTCCGTATCTGTGCGGCG